TACCTTTCATTACTGAAAACTTTCTTAGATGTTTGCATGTTATTTGAATAGTGAAAGTGTTTGGTATTTGCTTGTAATGTGGTGTAACTTATATTGCTTTTTCTTTTTTTTTTTCCTTAGATTGCAAATACTTTAAATATGTATCACACCAAGGCTGTAAAGCTCAGGCGAAAAGGTTTCGGATACTGAAGAAATTTGTGAATAAGCACAATCCTGTCTACCTGAGAATATCTGGTTCTTCAGATTCCTCTGTACAACCTTGATTAGAACGTGTCCTTAAGGTTCTTGTTTTTTTTTTTTTAATGTCTGTGAAACTGACTTATGTATTGGTGCTGTATCAGTATTTATTCTAAAACTTCTAGGCAGACCCTGTTGACTCAGTACTAGGCTTTTTCATATATTTCTGTAAAAATGCTTTGGTTTGTATTTATTTTGTAATAAAATGAATATAAATCAGATTACAAGGTTGAGGAGTTTCTTTAATATTAGTCCCATATTTCTGTGTGAAAGGCAAACAGCATTGATTTCAAATATATCTTGAAAAATTACCTTGTGGAATTTCTATATCAATAGTATTGTAGGGTTGATCCTCCTTACATTTGGATGCAGAGATGGTGATTTAAATGACTGCTGGAATGTCATTCAAAATCCATTCAGGACTAGCAGTGGCATTAATAAGTCTAGTGTCTTAACCTAAGAACAGTACATTACGCAGTGTCAAAATGTGTTCTCAACCTATAAAGGTTACATAGCTTGCTGCTTATAACTGATTATTTCCTGAAATGTATGGAAAATGCCGTGTGTCATGGTTTTTTGCATTGTATATTGAGACAAATTTTAGGTCATGAAGATGTACTGCAGCTTGGTCACATAAATGATGGACTTCAACATATCAAAAGGCAGTTTTCCCACATGTCATACGCACAGATTGTATGTCCAGTTCAGGGGTTGTTTTCACAAAATTGGTAGGAGAGAGTGAAAGGTTGCTGTACTGCATGGCTACAGAGGGAAGCTACTGTTGCAGCGCTCTGAAAAAGCAAGGGCACAGAACTACTGAAAACTTCTCTGCCTGGAGAAGAGACTTTCTAGAATCTTTTTGCAGTTTTGGCAGTGAGTTGAAATGTGCACTGTTACTGTGTTTGGAAAGCAAATGCTAATGTGTTGTCATAAACTAGTGTTCCAGTTTGCTTGAAAACAACAACAACAAAATGGTTTCCAAATACTACTTCTGTTTTAATGACAGGTCTGTAGGACTCTGGATGGATGAACTGCTTGAACTACCTCTGGGAATGAAATAAAGATGTCTTTAATAGCACAGTAGTATATGGATAAGTACAGCTGTGCTTTTAAAAGTCAAATGTTTATCTGGGATTTTGGTCTGCATTAATATGGGTTTTGTGAAATGTGCCTTAAGACAATGTGTGTTAAACGTTAAGTGAGTTGCTTGCTGTGAGTGTATGTTTTATCAAAAAAGAAAAAAAGAAAGAAGGAATTACCTGTCATTCCAGACCTGTGTGCTAGTTTAGTTCTGACTCCCTAAGAATGCTGATGCCTCATTCTGTAATAGACTATTTTTTTTTTTTTTTGTTGGAGGTCTTCAACTGAGTTTTGACTGTTTTAAGTACATTGTGAAGTTTCAAAATGTTCTTCCCCTTCATCCATCCCACACCCCTGGAAAACAACCCCCCTTAGTCCAAAAGGTGATCCAGATCATTGCTCTCAATAACTCATCTTGATGGGTTTCACACCTGGACAATGTGGCTAAAGTTGTCCTGGGAGAAAAAAACAGGGTGTCCCTTCCCTGGAGTCCTTAATTTGGCTTCCTGCCTGCCGTTGCGCCTCTTGGCTCCTCTGGCCTTGCAAAGATGGGCCTTTGGTGGGCTGGTGACTCTCCTGTGATGGGCCTGGGAGTACCCCAGCAGGGTATTGTATGCACTTCCTCATTCCTTTGTGTCACTGTGCTCCTTTTGTGGGTGCCCAGAGGAGCTTTTATCATATAACCTAACAGAGAATAGTATAAATATAGAATGCTAGAGCCCCTGCTACTTGCTGAGAGCTCCTGTGTAATTTTCCTTCTGTCCCCTTAGCTGCCTGTGGGAGATGTGTATGCCTTGCAGCAGCTGAGAAACCCTGTCTTTATTGAGGAAGAAATATGGAACAAAGCAGCAGAGATTGGAATTCTTCTTACCTCCGCCCCATAAGGAGAGTGAGAGGACAAAGAAAAGATTGATGTATTTGAAAAAAAATCTGTTAATCCCTTGCGCTCACAGCTTTCTCCTGTGACCTCTGAAAGCAGCATTCCTGACAGGGATTGTGTTCTCTCCTGGTGCTAGAGCTACCATGCTTCAGTCAGCAAGTAGAAGAGCAGCAAGGTCTCAGCTTTCACGTAACTATCTTGTGCATTGCTCTTTCACGTCCTGCAAGAAACTTGCTATTTCCTGACACCATAGTACTTACACCTGAGACAAACCTGTACGTCACAAGTCCCAAGTGGAACTTCCTGTGTAAGTTATTCAGTGCATACCATGTTTTCAAGCTTGTGTGTTGCACTTTGAATGTGGTAACTCCTAGTGGATTGGAATATTCTGCTTTGGCTATGAATTATGTGGTCTAAGTTTGGTTTTCTTATGACTTGACAATCTTCATAATGTGTGCAAAACTTCTGTGAGGTTTTTTCCCCTTCCTTGAAACAAATAGCACATCTTTTCTTCACTGATCTCTTTTATGCAATGGCAAGGAACTTGGGGGATCCACAGACTTGGTGTCTGTTGTCCCCCTGTTATTCCACCTCTTGTTCTGGTATCTTTAATATTAAAACCTAACATAATGATAACACTAAATTACAATTCACTTCAGCTCTACCCTCTGCTTTCCCTGTTTTTCCATTCATGTTTTTGATGGTCCTACTTGTGCTTTCCCGTTTTAAGAATGTCTTGACTGAAGTTAAAGAAAAGCAAGCTAATGAAATGTCACCTGCTTTTTAAAGCTCGTCAACCCCATGTGTTCTTACCCCCTTCCTTTTCCCCACCAGGCTCTCTGTATTCCAAGCAGCTGTCTCATTCTGGAAACTTCGGGAGGACTTGCCTCAGCTTTCAGAGCAGTGTAAGCACATTGTCAGCAGTAACCAAGTGTGTACCTTTCCCTGTGCGTAGTCTGTGCAGAATCAGAGGATTGATGTGCTTTGTACTAGTTTGAATTTACAGGGCTGTCTGTAGTTGGTGTTCTTATCTGTGATGGTAAATCGAAGGTTCTCTTCAGTCTGTTTTTGTTGCATTTAAAGAATGGCTGGAGGTGGTGTGCTGGATGAAGAAAAATGACTGCCCGCTGCAAGGAGTCCTTGGGTAATGTGAGCAGTAGGCACGGTGGGAGGTTATGTGTTCCCTTCTTGTCCAAATGTGAGTAAAGCTATTCTAGCTTTTCTGTCCTCATCCAGGAGCAGCGAGGGGGTTTTTTTTGCCTCCTGGTCTGAAGTATTCAGTGACTAGGAAGTGCAGTTCCACACGCAGGTAAATATTCTGAGTTTTTGTCTGCAAGCGGCATGCCTCTAGGAAAGGGAGAGAGGTGCTCAATTTCTCCTAGTGGTAGATAATGTTAGTTACCCCGAAGACCTCAGTAATGCTGAAGCAATTAAAAGCATAGAGAACTTGCAGGCTGTAGTTACAAATGAAGAGTATGCAAATAAATACCCTCACTTACCCTTGCTGTTACGGTATCAAAGTAAGACAATTGCCAGGGACACCAAAGTAATGCCTTAATTTCAGTGATTGTCTGCATTGTGTGAGAGCAATAATGGAGATAAGCTGATCCTTCAGCAGATTTAAATACTTGGATTTAAAATGCTTTGTCTCATGACAGTGCTAAATCTTGATTGGCATGTTTCCAGTGCATTGAAGTCTAAGCAGACAGGATTATCGGCAGGCTGCCAGACAGTCAAGGTGCCACAAGCTTGAGCCACAGCAAAACACGTGAAGGTTAAAAACCCAGAGTTTGGTTTTTTTTTAACAACCATTCCCCAATAAAGGCTCTGAGGTGATCCATAATCACAGAGTATTCTCAGCTGTCATGTTATGCTGGTGGTTGTACTGAGAAGCTGGGACTGGGAGCTTTGTCTTCCCCCTGAGTGACACAGAGATAGCTGCTGGGAATAAATGGTGATGTGTGGGGAGAGGGAAAAGAGCTTTGGATGAGTGCAGATCGCCCTACACATGAGATTCTCCCTGAGTCCCACGTGTACAAACACAGTACACCTGCATACACAGCTGATGCTGTATGTCACTAACCGTAGGGAGTGCTCACACAGTCTTCACAAGAGGAGAAAGTGAGCAAAAATCTCGTGCATCTTTAAATCAGTTTAACATCAGCTGGGATCAGAACCACTAAAATCAATTAGCTTAAGTACAGGGTTACCACGGAATGTCATAGTCAACTTCAGGTTGTGCTGGTACCTGAAATGTTTGTTTTCTCCTTCACTCTTTCTGAATTTCTTCTCATTTTAACCCTGAATGTATACCTGGATTTGTGGGTAACAGCAATACCTCTGCAAAACTTTTTGTCCTGAAATTACTTGTACTGTACCTAGGGTGTTAACTGCTGCCTTAATTTGGTTGTATTTTATGACCCCTGTTCAGTCTTTATGAAACCAGACCCAAGTTTATTGGATTTTAAAAGCTGAGTAAAATGGTAGTTAGCAATTTAAAATTATTTACTTGTGTTTGGTAAATGGGGAGAGATTATCAGATTCTGTATATAGGTATCATATTTCATATCTTTATGTTATTCGTGTTTCTTGGTGAAGGATTTCTCAGCCGATTTAAACTAAGATGTAGGGATTAGGTTTGTGTGTGCTTCTAGGAGCATGAGAAATGTCCAGAGGGGAGGGTTCAGCTATGTGACGTGTGAAATACCAAAGCAGCAGCCCGAAGGGTTTCTCTCCTGCCAAGTAGTAAACTTCAGAGAGAAAAAGGGAGAGAATGTAAGCAAGCTGGAGTGAATGCTGAGCTCTGTGGCTGGCAATTAATAAAGCAGAGAGGATGAATGAACCGTACTACGAAGTAGTCCAGGATTTCTATACATCTGACCTCAAGAAACCTACACTGAAGGAAGTGAATGTTTGGCCATGCACTGGAAAGAGCAGCAGCAGCTCTGGAGTTTCCTTTTCTTACTCACATGTCTTTCTGTTCCTCTTCTTCTTGTGCCTGATAGGCAGTCTGCTCGGGCACCCTCAGTGTCTGGATTACGGGCCGCCTTTCCAGCCCCCTTTTCAGCTGGAGTTCTGTTCTGCCTATGAAAATTTTGGCTGCTGTGACCAGGAGAAAGATAACAGCATTGCAGCAAAATACTGGGACATCATGGATTATATCGATCCTCGGGGGCATAGACTGTGTGGAACGTATATCAAAGATATCCTGTGCCAGGTAGGGCAGAAGAATAGTATCTGTATCCTCTGGTTTAGGCTGACTTGGGGGTCAGTTGTAGTTCTGGTAGTTTCTTATAGCTAGCTGTGCTGCTTTGAAAAGAGGTGTGGGAGCAGAAGAGTGGGCTGACGGAGTGATAGTACCTAATCCTCAGCATACATTACACGCTGGTTACAAAGCACCTCATCCAAAATCTAACATGCAAAGCTAAGGGGGATTTCTAAAAGTAAAGGTAAAAAGAGCTTGCAAAAGGAAACTGCCTGTCACTTCCTTAAAAACCTCTAGTAACAGAGAATCCACAGCCTCCATAGACATACTTCTGTTGGGAATAATTTAAGTGCAGCTATTGCTTTGTTACAGGAAACAACTACTGACCTCTAAATCCCCTTTAGCAATATTCTGAGTGACTTTCTACTGCTCCGCTTTAAAGATGACTTGTGTTCTCTGCCATACTAATTTTTCATTTTGTTAACTGGTTTGCTTCCATGAAGGTGTCTTGGCTTCTCTTGGATGTATGTACGCAGCCACATATTTAGTTTCTTTTACTTTCTAGGAATGTTCTCCATACGCTGCACATCTCTATGATGCAGAAAACCCTCGGACACCTCTAAGAAACCTCCCAGGACTTTGTTTTGACTACTGCTCTGAGTTTCACTTCAACTGCCGCTCTGCCATCAGCCTGCTGACGACTGATAAGCACATCCAAGAATGCTGCGAGACAAACAAGACACGCTTCTGCAACCTCCTTCACCTACACGATGAGGACTACTGCTTCCCCAACGTGCTGAAGAACACAGCCCTCAACCGCAACCTGGGCTCGGTGGTGGAGGACCACAAAGGCTGCCTCCAGCTCTGTCTGACCGAGGTTGCCAATGGCCTGAGGAACCCAGTGCTCATGGTGCACGCGAATGACGATACTCACCGCATGTTCATCGCTGAGCAGGTGGGCGTCATCTGGGTCTACCTACCTGATGGCAGCCGGCTGGAGGAGCCCTTTCTGGATATTAAAAGGATAGTGCTGGCTACGCCATGGATAGGGGATGAGAGAGGCTTTCTGGGCATGGCTTTCCACCCCAAGTACAAGTACAATCGGAAGTTTTATATCTATTACTCATACATGGATAAGAACAGAGTGGAAAAGATCAGGATCAGTGAACTGAAGGTTTTGGCATCTGATGTCAACAAAGCTGATCCACGCTCAGAAAGGTAAAGTTCATGTTGAATGCTACTGTATGTCATGATGAGAAGTTATTTTTCTCTGTCCCTGCCCTTCCCCCTTGCAGAGCCTGCACATTCCCAGACACCCTGGTTCAGGTGTGTGGCTGAGCTGCTATGAAGCTACTAGAGACAGGCTGGCTCAAGCTCATACTGCAAAACTGAAAACAGGACCCAGGATCTATATTTCCAGGTTATCTTCTCTCTCCGTGTTGTACTCTTGCCTTCTAAAGAGCCTTAAGCCTACTGTAGAATTAACATCTGCCCTGAAAGTGTTTTGTACTGTAGGAGAACAGGGATGCTTCCCTACAGTGCTATACATTCATTTGATCTGATGTGTGCACCTGCCCCATGCCGTTGCTAAGAAGAAAACCTGATCCTCAGTTACAGAGAAGAATTTGTTAATAGCAGATTTATTTTTTCTAAAGTTTCACAATCACTGTAAGATGTTTCTGAAGCTCTCAAATCTACCACCTGCTTCTCATATGAGAAAGCAGCAGCCACCTGTTGCAATCAAAGTGGTGCAATATTTCTGCAGCCTACCTGAATGCTCATTCGTTTCCAGTAGCTACATCTAGAGTTGTTTCTCTTTTTTCTTTGTTAGGAATCTTTTGGAGCTTGAAGAACCAGCTGCAAACCATAATGGTGGGCAGCTGCTCTTTGGTGTGGATGGCTATATGTATCTGTTCACAGGGGATGGAGGGAAAGCTGGAGACCCTTTTGGAAAATTTGGGAATGCTCAGAACAAGTAAGTAGGAGGGCAGTTGAGAGCCTTGAGCTTGTCCACCAAGACACAGGGTTTGGAAATAACGCAATGTGGAAGGATAAAGTAAGAGTGCTTCCGAAAGTGCATGTGCATCTGCGAGTCTGTCCAATGCAGAGTTTCAAGAATTTAAATTTTACATTTTGAAAGCTGAGGGAACCCAATGTGTTGAGGGGGGGAGGAAAGTCTTCTGTGACTTAAACAGGTTGCAAGACATACCAGCTGTTGGTTTATCTCTTTTGGACGGATAACCTTTCCTTTGAAAAGGGGGAAGAGGGAGAGAATTGTTAATTTTCAACTGGCTCTCATGCTGGGATTTGTCGTTTTTCTTTTGTTCTCTTTAGGAGTGCTTTGTTGGGGAAAGTCTTGAGGATTGATGTGGATGGAAAAAGCCCTGATGGAAAGCCTTACCACATCCCTCCTGATAATCCATTTGTGTCTGATCCCAAGGCCCGCCCTGAGGTTTATGCTTATGGGGTCAGGAATATGTGGCGCTGTGCGGTTGACAGAGGGGACCCTGTCACAAAAAAGGGAAGAGGGAGGATATTCTGCGGGGATGTCGGACAGAACAGATTTGAAGAAATTGACATCATTGTTAAAGGAGGGAACTATGGCTGGAGAGCAAAGGAGGGATTTGAATGCTACGACACAAAGCTTTGCCACAATTCCTCTTTGGGTAAGGAAGAAGTTTCTTACAGAAGATTACTTTATTATACATGTGTGTTTACTGGACTATAGCTCCATTTTTCCAGTGAAGCTAAATAATCCAGTGTTGTGGTTAAATGGAGGTTGTTTAATTCTTAAGAGCAGAAATTCCTTCTCCCCAGCCGTGCAGTGTTGGTATGAAATGATGCCCTGCTTATTCAGGGAACTCCCCGTCATACACTGCGCTGGACAAGGTGTTTAGGGTCAAAGCCGGTGCCTTTTGCAAACAGACAGAATTTTCCTGGTAAATTTAGAAAGATGATGGTTTGGGTTAAAGGAGAAAAGCAATATTGCATTTTCTTCAGAAGCTCTGAGCCATGGCTATGGCTGAGGACAGTGAACCAGGCTGACACTGAGACCTTGAAACAAATCCTGTGGAAGTGTGTCCCAGCAAGCGTAGTGCTGCAGCAGAACACCTAAAAGCTGTGCTCTGGGGCTGATGGTGGGTGTGATGGACGAACTCACTTGCTGCCTTTAAGGCAACCACAAATACATATTCTTTTTTAAAGTTCTTTAGAAAGCATGGTAGAAGAACTGGGTATTATTATAATGTTCCTTAAGCTGTTGGAAGAAGATACCTGGTCTCAAGCTCATGTAGATGTTTCTGGAGCATTTATATGAGCAGGCAAGCATAGAGTATGTGTTATCAACATTTCTCCCTTGCTATGCTGGTACCCACAAGGATAAAGCTTTCTGTTTGGTTGGGTTTTTTTTATGACCCAGTCCTCAATTGACAACAAAATTGAACTAGATTTTGCTGTTAATCTACTGTTTTTAATTGTATTTGTGATCTTTATCCTCATCATTAAAGACAAGCTACTTGATCTAAGGGAAAAAAAGAGTGAGGACAAGACTAAAATTTTATGGGATCTGATATTCTACCCAAGAAAGGGCTGAATTCAATTTTGACATTGCCAGAGGCAAAGCTTTTATGTTATAAGTCTCAGGACATAAATGGAGGTAGCACACTTATGCATGTTCAGTGCTGAGAATGTCAGCAAACCTATGAAGATGTTGAGTTAACGTGCAATTGTTTGGTCTTACTCCTCTAAAAATACTGGATTTTGTAAAGACAATTCCTGCTAAAATGATTGGTGCAATCACAAAGCTATGAGATAATACTTCCTGCAGGCTGGTACCTTTCTGCTTTGCTCACTTGATGCAGAGAATCTTGGCCCTATGTGTTGTGGAAGCTCATCATGGCTAAGCCTTGATAAGCAACTATGCAGAGAGCTCCTTAAAGCCCCTGGGTCTGTTGTGTCCTGGAGTAAATTACTGAATTCCTACTGAAATTTAACTGTGCTGTTTGTTCAACTGTACTGGTCCTTCTAGTTGTTTTTGTGTTCACCAGTGTCATTGTGCAATTGCTTATTGATGCTCTCTGGATGTAAATTTTCTCGTTTTATGTTCTGTGTTTAACAGATGACATTCTTCCAATATTTGCATATGGCCGCAATGTGGGGAAGTCAGTCACTGGAGGTTATGTGTACAGAGGATGTGAATCGCCCAACTTGAATGGCCTCTATATTTTTGGTGATTTCATGAATGGGTGAGACTAATTGTTTCCTCTGCAGCTCCCACTCTTTTCCCACATTCACCTTACCTGGGCAAATTAGCATATCAGAGCATCCTGAAACCTTTTCAGCTGGATTAAATGAGAATCCCAAATGTCTGAGTATTTGATTAAGGGCTCTGACCATTATAACATGTTGGTTGGAATTTAAACTCTTAGGCTCGCTTTTGTTCATGTCTGTTTGTCCAAAAGACAAACATTAAAGCCAGTCAGTAGTCAGGGTCCTCACTGACATCTTTTTCCAGTAATGCATGACTTTGACAGGAACTAGTCTTGATAATGGAAACATAAAACACAGGGTTTTATTTTTTCATTTAGTCGACTTATGGCTTTACAGGAAGATGAGGAGACAAATAAGTGGAAGAAGCAAGATATCTGCATTGGTAGCACAAAAGCTTGTGCTTTCCCTGGAATGATCACTTCTTATAGCAAGTTCATCATCTCATTTGCTGAGGATGAAGCAGGTCAGTATTGTGCTAGCTGTATCTTTATTGGAAACTGTACTGTGGGGTCTGTTTTGTAGGGCAAATCTGTAAAACTATGTTGATCCTCACATGCTACTAGAGAGTGGGTGGGCACTGCAAAACAGGTTTGTGGCTATCTCAGCATGGCACGTAGGGTTGGTATGGGGTGCAGAGGGTTCTCCTGCCCTGTGGGACTATTGCAGATCGGCTTGATGGGGAGAGGTCAGGAGATAGATCCTCATATGAGCTTGCAATCTGAACGCTCTAGATTCTGTAAGGATTTTGAACTCCTGTTTGTTTCAGCCTTTCTGTGTCTTTTTGTTGTTGTTTGTTTATGCTGTTTCATTAATGAAAATATTATATCAATGCAGTTTGTTCTTTCATTGTAACAGCTCATCCTCACTTGAATTCTTACAGCTTATCTAACCTCCTCATTTGGTATAAATTCCTTAGTCTTATTTACAACAGCAGCGCTTCACACTGTGGATGATACACCAAGGTTTTATTTGGGGATAAGGGAAGCCACTAATTTGAAAGCTGAGTGGAAACATCTCGGTGCAGAGGATTATTGGTATGGTCACAATGACCAGACCTCTCACCGAGGTGAAAGTACCAATCTCCTGACAAAGACCTATGTAATATAAGAAGTGACTGCAAATTTTTTGAGAACTCGCATGTGCTTTAGCGAGGTCTGATGTTTCATGATTCAGCAGAAAAGAGATCTGCTTGTGATGAAAAGATCCTGGATCATCTGGCTAGCGTATTCTGTCAAAGATGCAGGGAAATGCAGGCTCTTTTGTGAAATATGTGCAATTTTTAACTGTTCTAACAACACGTGGAGTGAGTGGATGTTAACTGCCCCTTCTACTGTTGTTCTTTTAGAAACCAATGTGGTGGTGTCATATAATTTCAAAGACACCAACGTAGTTACTTGCAAAAACTACCTATATAGATTGCCTGGATATTGTACTAGTGGGTGCTGAAGGGAAGGCATGAGGAGTTGCTCTCCTCAGCAACCATAGAGGAATAAGAAGCTTCTGTCTTCTCTGGGTTAGCCAATTTAGCTCTTGTTGGTTTTGTTTCTTGTTGTGTTGGTTTGGTTTTTTTTGGTGTGAGATGGCTAAATATTTGTTGTGTGGTCTTCAACTTTATTTGTAGCTTCTGGCTGCTTCTTGGTACAAACAAGTCTGAAAAAATACATATTTATACAGAGGAAAGTAACCTTTCAGTTAACCTTTTCACTGACATGGGGTAATAAAGGTCCTGCTCAGGCACTGTGCTCGATCAAGGGCTGTTGGCTCTGCGTGAAACCTTGCTGCAACTGTGAGATCATTTGGTGTCCATGAGAGTCCACCTGCACAGGCCAGGGGGAGACCAAAGCCCGTTTGGAAACAAGACACAACTGAGGGAGTGACTGAAGGGATTTTCTTTTCTGACCTTGTGAATTAGTGAAGAGCTAGGAAAGAGAAGGAAATGGAGAACTGGGATTCAGCTTGGGCACTTGAATCTGAGACTGGTTTTCTTTTTTTCACTTCCATTTAGGTGAGCTATATTTCATGTCTACTTCTTATCCCAGTGCCTATGCACCACATGGATCGCTCTACAAGTTTATTGATCCTGCAAGGTTAGTAATTAAAGATGTTTTTACATGCCAAATTCTTCTATGATCACCATGCATTCTCCAGCTATCACAGTAGGAAGAATGCTAAGTAGTACTGATAAATATTCTCACTGACCTCCGCATTCAGTCCTTGATTTTTGTTTACTCACTGTACGTCTGGTGCAACTTTACTCAGTTTTAGTGAATTTATTCCTCACTCATATTTATGCACCTAGAATAGACAGAGTTCGGACGCCTTAAAGGTCTGTGACAGTAAGGATCAAAATAATATCTCCTTGATTGCATATCTGAAGTATAGCACAGTGGTGTTTTAAAAATGACAATCCATATCCTTCATGGTCATGACATCAAATATCTGTGATGCCCTTTCATAATAAATAAATAAATTGCAGTCCACAGTTTCACTCTTCTTTGTTAAGAAAACTAAACCTGGTGGTTCATGCAGCGTTCAAATAATTAGAGCCTGAACATGAGTTTTTCCAAGCAAAATGTTTTTCCCCATTAAGCAGTTATCCCTGCTAAAATCTGTTTTTACAACAATAAGCATGCTTATGTAATTTTTCCCCTTCCAAGCTTTTGGATCTTGCTAAAAAGCATTAAATGAGTTTCAAATCACCCTGTAAAGTCAATACAGTACTAATGTGGCTGTGCTGTTGCCAAGATCTCAGGCACTAACAAAATGAAGGAAAGATATGCTATCTTGGGAAGTTAGATCCAAAGCTAGATAGTTAACTTAAGCTCTGTCACAAGGTGATGGGAATAGGAACTTGGGTCTTTTAGTTGCTGTAACTACTCAGCCTTTAACAGCTGCCAGGAAACCTTTGAACTGCATTAACCGTGGCTGACCATTGTAATCAAATGTTAGACTTTTCAACTAAAAAAATAATTAAATATTTGTGAGCTAGCATAAACATAGAGCTTGAACGTGCTCTATTTCACACAAAAAAATGCCCTTCAGTCCCTCCTTGATGTGCTGTGAAGACTATCAGGATGATACATCCTCTCCTTTTGCCTGCTGTAAAGGCAGAAATGCAGCTTTCTGTTTCACAAGCAGCCTGTGAGAGCCTTTCCAGGCGGCTGCCTGCCTGAGCAGTGGTGTGCAGTACTGTACCATGTTACTATGACTCTATGGGAGGCACCAAGCTCCTGCCAGGAGTGCAATGGCTTCACTGCTCAGAAGGGCTTTCTGGAGAGAAGCCAGCTCTTCCCTCTGCTTTTGGAGCTTCATATCCATCACTTCTAGAGCAGGAACTTTTTCCCTTGGCTGTTTGTAATTTATTCTTGTGTTTTGCCATGTGCCACAGGGCAACTTTAACTTCCCTCAGAACCTCCCAGGAAAATGGATGGCAGCAGTGCCCCACGTCCCCACCTCAGGTTGCCTCTCCAGCAGTACCCTCAGACAGCAGAGGGGCTGGTGTGCCACTGCCTGGATTGGCACCAAATGCCCTCAGTCAGGAGTGGAGGGAGGAAGTGTTAGAAGGTGCTTTAAAAGTTGGAGAGGGGGGGAAAAACCCACCAACCCCCCTAAAAAAAAAAAAAAAAAACCACAACAACCCTGCTTTAGTAACCAGTTTTTTTTAGATTGAAATGCTATGGAGGAAGCACTTGTTTGTTGCCCATGTCTGAAGGAGAATGCTAATCACAAGAAAATGTGATGCCTTAGGTCATGCTTTGCTTTGCTCTGCGCTGTCGAGCATGCCAAATTGGAAAAGCCTGTTCTTATTTGTCCTACAGCAGTTCCCTGGGTGGGGAACAGAAAACACAGTCCTGTTGCTCTTCTTTGCACACACTCTTCCTGTCATTTAACATCTGACAGCTTTACCTTAGGGAAAATGTACTTTTTTGGGTGCTTTTGCACTGTGGGAAGTTGTCAGGGAACAGCAGGAGAGGAACGTGGACACATTTTATTTGCAGTTGTTGCGAGTGGAAAGCACGGTCACTGACAAGCCTCATGTGCAGGGAATGAGACTCCACTCCAAGGTGGGATGCATGAGCCAGTATTGGTGAGGACAACCCAAAGTGACTGATAATCTGAAGTTCAACCAGTGCATCCTCCAGGCTTCTAGGAACAGCGTTGTGCTGTGCCTCCAGCAGCAGGACACGTGGCTGAACACACCTGATCAGCACTCTGGGATTTGGTGGTGGGTTCACGCAGGCAGGCCAGCCTCCCACGCACAAACCAGCCAGCCATTGATGTTGGGTAAAGACAGTCCAGGTTGCCTGGTGGCAGAAACTTGTCCAGGAAGGTGGTAGAAGAGAAGCTGCAGCCTTCCAGCTGCTGTTGCTGTTCAGAGTGGGAGTTTGTGGTTTGCAGTCCTGTGTTGGACAATCAAATTCCACCTACATTACGTTCCAGGTGCCTAAAGTGCTTTCATACCTCTTCCAGCAGAGGCAAATGACAACGGGGGATTGATGTGTGCCTCTGGAATAAATAAACTTCCTTAACAATCTCTCAGATATCTGCATATGGCTTTCTGTTTTTTTAAGGAGAGCTCCACCAGGAAAGTGTAAATATAAGCCTGTTCCAGTGAAAACAAAGAGCAAACGGATACCATTTGTTCCACATGCAAGTAAGTTGTTGGGCTTTAATTTTACTGAGAAGGAAAACATACAACCATCTCACAGGCATGTGACTTAAATATTTAGCAGTCTTAAAAGCTAAAGCACTGAGCAGGAGCAAACTTGAAGTTAGGTTGTTGCATTTAATGTGTGCTTCTGTTGCCTACTAGATGCTCTGCCTTTTCTTAATCCCAGACTGTTTTTTTTTTTCTCCCCCGTAAGTGTTGCCAAGTAATGGACATTGCAAGGGAACTGATGGCTTTGATTGAGGCACTTTATTTGATTTGGGAAGTCCCAGGGCCCATCCCTGGCTCTGTGACCAGCTCCTTGAGTCAAATAATCCCCTCTCTGTAAATCTAGGGGGGGTCAATCTTCCTTTCTCCTGTCCTTTTCCTGTCCTATGTCCCATGCAACTAGGGCAGGGGTTACATCTTATTATTGATTAGGAACAGTGTTTAACAAGTTGAGGTTATCTTGTCTGGGATTTACAGGTATTAGTGTAACATGAAAAATTCATATTGTTAAATCCTCCAAAGAAGTGTGCAAGGTTTCATCATATTCTGTCTGGACTTATTTTTCTTCAGTATGTGTTTGTCATTTTTAAAATTAAACAAACTTTATTTCCAAGAAACCCAAAGCTCTTTTCAAGGAAGAAAAGAGGTTTATATAGTAAGTATTTATTTGAAAACATCAGCTATTTTTCTTAACTGTAGCTCTAATAAGGGTTTATATCAGTTATATCTCTGAATTAGCCTTTTGCCTTAAAGCAGGGATGCTGAACTGTATTTAAATTACTTTCCTCAGAGACTGTCCTTGAGCTGCTTAATGAACCTTCAACAACCAAGCCTCTGAAAAAATCTAGCCCCACTGTAGCTACCCCAATGGTTTCTTCTAAGAAAACTAAAAAAACCCCATCCACCAAAATAAAAGCATCAACAGTGAAACCAGCTCCATCTGGTACAAAGAAACAGAAAATCAAAGCTGAGGCTAAACCTCACAAGCCAAAGCAGGAAGAGAAGGTTGCACACGTTTCCAGAACTACACCAACACCCCCTTGGCCAAAAACGAAGAGCTCCCACCTAATCAGAACCAAGAAGCTTCTTCCAAAGAAAACAGCACCAGCTAAGGAAAGACTGGGGAAGAGGAGGAAGGAGAATAGATTAAGAAGCAGCTTTTGAAGCTCAGTGATGTCACAGAAAAAGTCACTTATAAGATGGTGAAACAAAGGTTTTGAATAGTCACCAAATAAAAGAGAATCAGCTGCCTTCTTATGCCAGCGTGCCCAGGTGTGCCTCCATTGATGTCAGTGTTAGCTGTCTCTGTATGTGTTCTATTAAACAGCACCAGCCTTCTCATAGTCACTTTCTTTGCAAACCCTGCTGTGATGTCCTTTGCTGACAGGAGTTGTTAGGAGAGTCTCTGAGTAACATTCATTTGTAAGATGTGGTTGTGTATGACTGTCTAATAAATCCAAGTGCCTCCAACTTTCAAGACTTGCATCTTTTATCTAAGAATATGAACTAGATGTGTCAATGACTTCACCCCTCTCTTTTTTTTGTCCTTCAACTGAAATGCAGTGAAAGATATATTTCAAGAGTAGTTGTCTTTCAGGCAATGAAATTAGATTTTTTTTTTTAAACAGTATTTTTGCAAGGTATGGATGACCTGCATGTTCCAAAGGATTCAGGAAGGGCTTGAGATGTTCAGCAAATCTTAAAAACAAAAGAACAGCAACAAAAAACAAGCAACTTTCATCAATCCTAGCTACAGCTAAGCACGTGGATTGAACCAGCATCTGACTTCTACCTGAATGTAGATTGGATTTTATGTTTACACTCTTCTACCGTTAGCCTAACAGGGGGCCAAAGCCCACGTCATTTTGCAGTTTCCACGTTACGTTTGTCTCCTGCCGCCCCCCTCTGGACGCGCCGTTTCGGGTTACAAAAAGCAGCACCCAGCTCCCGCAGCTTTCAGCCGCCGGGGACCGATCCACCCAGCGTGGCTGGCCGCCCTCCCTTCCCCCTAGCCCGCGGGGAGTTTGAATTTCGCTCCGCGGGGACACAGGCGAGGGAAGAAAAAAGGGGAAAAAAAAGATTAAATATTTAAAACCACAGAGGCCCCAGCGAGGATCGAACTCGCGACCCCTGGTTTACAAGACCAGTGCTCTAACCACTGAGCTATGGAGCCACCTACCGGACTGTTTTCTTCCAACAATCCCTGTATGTCTCTAGCGCTCCCGGCCGGTCCCGGGCCCTGCACCCTCCCACTGTGCGAACGGGGGGCGGCGGCGGGTGGGCCCCGGCAGGGTCCGGGTGCTCCTGCGGCCTCGGCGGTGGAAATAACGCAGCTCACAGTGTTACCCGGCAGTGCAGAAGTTAAGCTGTCAACCCATGAAGTGTGCGAACAGCGAGAGCTGCTGGGTTAGCCTGTGTTTGGAGAGGAGAGGAGGGGTTTAATGAAGGACCCCTCCCCGGGACCTGCAGGAAGGGCTGGCCTCGAAGTGCAGACCAGCCCCGAGCACGGGGCTCTGGTCAGTTTGTTCACCACAAGTCCCAAGACTGCTGGATTGAAGGGTCTTTAGGATGAGCTGTCTCACCATAATGTGAAACTCTGAGTGCCTGGACGACCCTCCCCTGAATTAAGACCCTCCCTCACTGGTTTTGTTTTTTTAATCGAAGCAAGAGAAGAACTAACCAACAGCAGTTAAGAAAAGATAAAAACTAACCAATTCTAGTTGGAGGGATGTGGCAAGGAAGACAAAACTGTCGATTTGAACGTAAACACGCCTTGGGACTGCAGCTGGGGGTGGTGCACCTGTGACACCCCTGATGCGGAGACAGGCCCCAGAACTTTCCCCTTTCCCCCATGGGGCGAGCTGCCCACGGCAGAGGTGTGTGTGAATGCAAATCCCAGCCCACCTGGCACGGCATGCACTCCTGCACGGCGTTTAACCAAGGGGGCCTTCCCCCGCCATCCACGGCTGGGTGCACCTGCTGCAAATTTACAATAAAATTGCCATCGCAGGGAGAAGTATTTTGTTGGCAAATAGAGGCTGGTGGGGAGGAGGGCTTTGGGGACTGCTGCAGTGTTTTCCATGCTGTGAAAGAGGGAGAAGTTGCTCCTACTGATGCAGGATTTTGGGAGGGAAGGCCATAAAAGATACAGTTTTGTGAAAAGTGTGTGTGTGGGAAGTCAGTTAAATGGAGATATTATAATCAGCTTGCTGCTGTAAACCTTCTTGGGTTTTGGGAAATAACTGTTAGAGAAAAATGGGTTTAATTATCATGCAAATAAACCCCAGGTCTAGGTTGATCAGGATATGAACCACATGGCAAGATAGGTATTGTTTAGCCTTAGTTTCTCTTTTCATTTTTACAGAGAAAGGAAGTGTGCAACCATTGAAGACTTTCTCCTTTATGTAAAAGAGTCAGTCTGTCACTTGCAGCCCTCCTCCATGGAGCGTTTAGGTGAAGGTGAAAACGTAAGCTGTGGAGAGGAAACTGAGAGACACCACTCTGGAGTAATAAATCCGAGCGGTTCTGCTGCACGCTGGGGCACGTTCTGGAAAAGCAGAGATGGTTTGCTGGGTGCAGGCTTCAAACTGTGCGTGACCAAAAGTAAAGCTCCTTGAAATGAGAACAGACATAAAAAGCTGCATTAAGGAGTTAACGACCTTTCATCTATCCCGCACTCCACAAATCATGAACTGGGTTAACTTTTTAAAAAAAAATTTCACCTTCTCTTTAAATGGACATGATCTCTGTGGACAAACTAGACCGGTTCTGGTGAACTCTTGTCTTGTTGTTTATGTAAGACACTAAAATTACTTTAATATATCTGCTTTTGACCTCTAATCTTGCAGTTGATAAATTAATGAAGTTTCACGTTTCTTTGATGGTGGCTTTTTTCCCCTTCCCTTTGAAGATAGTGACGCTGTAGAGCTGGTAAAGCTCTTCCAAAGAGGGTTAAAATGTCTGTGGTGAGTGCTCTGCTAATGCCTCGGGAAACTGAAATATAAGCTTAGCTTGTTTTATAACCTCAAAGTAAGAGCAGACTGTCTTACACCGTTCCTGCTCTAAGACAAACCTACCTTCATCAGTCTAACAGAGCTGAGCAGCAGCATGAGATGTATTCTGAGAACACAACAGTGTTGCCATCAAGTTTTTTGTGCAGTATGTGGCTACCTGTCGCTATTGGTTTTTAAGTTAGGGCTGTGGTTGCCCTGCTTCCAGATTCCTGTTGCTGCCTGCTTCGAGCTCGCTGCAAGGTGGGCTACGCTTCAAATGCTGCGTAGCAGACAGTCTTAGTGGGATTTATGATGTGTGATGGAGGTACTGTGCTATCAGTAAGCCTTCTAGCTTCTCTTTGTAATAGAAATGAGGAAATGAGACACTTCTAGGATGCAATTAATCTCACCTGAAAGTAAACCTCTAAAATAAGTAATCTGAATTGTGGTCTAGAAGTGCTTGTTCCTCAGTTGGCTGGGAAGGGAGTTGATGCTGAAAATGTCAGCAGTGAAGTGCAACACATCTCACTGGGCGTGACAGGTTCATACCAACCAAGCTCTGCAGGTGACCAGGCAGACACCCTGCTGAGACCTGGCTGGGGAGGGACACAGCACCGGCTTTGCTGAACTTGCACAGCAGCACTCCATGGCTCCTGCCTGCGAGCTGCTGACGCTCGCCCATCCTCTCAGTTTTGTTTGCACTGGAGTAAGCTTTAGTTTAGTTTAACAGTCTTTTGCTTTAGATGTTTATACTCGAATAACCGTAGCTGGAAAATTCCCAGCAGAGGACCAAAAGAATTTTTAGGGAGACGGCAAGATAAATTATATGTGTAAAGAAAACTATGAATACTCCTGCAACTAGACACAGATTTTGAAAATTAAGCATTTAGGCAATAAAATACCTCTAGTCTTCTGTTTGTTGCTGCTGAAAGCCACTAGGTGGAACCTAAGCACTGTGTGAAAGGATGAGGAAACTGTAACAGACTTCAAATGCTGAAAAGAGTGAATTATCACCACACTTTTTTTTTTTTTTTTTTTAAATCTGTAGGACAACTTACCTTTAAAGATGTGCCAAACATGTAAAGATCCACGTTTATATATGCCCTGTGAAATTTCTGCTGATTTGCAGTAAGATTAAACTTGTGTTGTGTGTCCCCCTTGCTAAATCAGGGCTTTCCCAAGCATGCTTTCATTTCACCTGGTTTGGTGAATTGATGCTGATAAAAGTGGAGGGCTAAGAGCAGCTGTTTAATGAAAGCAAGCAGGCAGTCCCTTTGCAGACTGCCTTGCTGGTGTAACACATTTGGGTTTTTCTTTTGTGTAGAAGAGTTTTGACAGACAGACACTGCCAAGGTAGGGAGGAATGCTGAAGGTTAGTGGGAGCAGCAGGCAGAAAAGTTTCCCTTCCCTAAGGAAAGCTCTTAGAAAGGAGCAGTATTTGAAAAATATATTCTAGACCTCTACACCAAGGACAGGCATCGAGTTAGAAAACAGGGTGGCCTAGTGTAAGAATGTAGTCTTGCACTCAGTCTGGACCAAGGCTGTTATTAAAAAATGACGTGGTTGTCCCTGACCATCCTTAATAGCCCCCCCCGAACAAATATGTGTTTAGCTGTGTATAAAGCTGGTGTCAGTCTGCAGATGTCAGATGTGTTGCTGTAAATTTACAGCCATCTCGCTAATGTCTTGCATATTCCATATGATCTTACTGCCATATCTTGCATTCAAGTGCTAACAGGAGAACCAAGTCAAAGAAATGAATCTTCAAACAGCTGGCTCATGGATTATCACTAGCAAGCCTCTTATACAGCAGTATTATCTTTTTCTAAACTCCTTTGCCTGGCTTGCCATCCAGTTCCCTGCTGGATTCAGTTTGCTGGTGTTTTGCAGGATTCAGTTCTTCGTTGCACAAACCACCTATGAGCTTTGGGCTGCAGCACTGTATGAAATAAACAGCAGCGATGCTGTTCTCTGCAGATGTGGTGTGTCTCCTAACAGGTTGTTGTGGCTTGCCTACCTTTGTCCTCTTCACATCTGATTTTCTGTGTCCCAGGGGCAGCTTAGTGCACTTGGGATTAGCTCGGCAGAATGGGCGTGCTCACCTTTCCTTGTCAGCCTCTGTGAGAGAAGACTTGCAGCACAACTCTAGTCTCTTTATGAAACAGGATGTTC